GTGCTGTGAATCAGCAGAAAGCTGGCTTTGACCTCAAGGCCTATGGGGAACAGCGCAGGCAGGCGGCAAAGGGAGGCAACCCAAAGATGAGGAAAGACGGGCCGCATGTGAGCACAAGTGCCTCATGTGTTTTGTGCCAAAGCAGGGTGGTCTGGAAGCCAAGTTTTGCCTCCTCAAAGAAGCAGTGCATAGCAATTCAGACTCACCGCAAAGCTGCCAAATTCCTTGCGCACCTGGCATCAGCATTTCAGAAGTTTGACTAGGCTGTATCTTCTACTGAGTAGGCCAGGAAGATCACGTTCTTCACCGCCCCAAAGCCTAGCTTGTTCGAAGGAGCCTGGCACAGCAAGCAAGGAAAGCGTGACTGGACTAGCTTTGTTTGCCTCATGAGCTCTTGTAAACTTCTTGCTGTACCAGCTTCCCTAGCCTGCATGGCACAACCCTCCAAAGAATTCATGACTCCACATGTCCCAATAAAGACCCTCAATGTGCCGTGCCGCGCCTGACATCAATTCTGCATGCACACACTTGGACTTGGTTCGACAGACTTTGCAGCGCAAAGCCTTCTGGTCATCACTTCATCCCAGCAAAGCAAAGCAAAAGCTCTCCCTGTAACAAAAAGAAATACCTTGTGGCCCTTGATCATACCAAAAAATTTTGATCGACAATCTCCTCGTGATGCAGCCAAGGCCCACAAAGGATTTCCCACAAAATCATGCGACTGGGGTACACGCAGCTGCTCATTATATCAGAGAGGTGATGATGGTATTGGTCACATATGTGCGACGGATAGACGTGGTGTTCACATATGCATGGGTGTGCGCACGTGACACAAACATCCTGCTAGTCCTGTACAATCTTGATGATGGGCCTACCTGAGCCCAAGAGCCCCCCATCTTTCGGTAAGCTCGAAGCCGAGTCCTGGGGACAGGACTTTATTGCGGCAAACTGGATGAACAATTGGTGCGAGCTGGCTTGGGCCATGCCTCTGCGTTCCCTGCAAGTCCATGGTATTTTGAATGGGAAGCAACAGACTACGCTCGCAAAGGCCGCTCGCTCTCCACAACTCGCAAGCTGCTCAAGATCGATTGAGACTTTGTCGTCTACAATCCTGAGTCTGAGAGGGAACATTGAGCCCCAACCCAATATCCCTTCGAAAAGTGAAGGGAGACTGACTTGAGGTGTATTCAAGAATCCGTCAGTGTCCGCATAGCAGCTGGCCCTCTGCACTGTGCACTCGTATCATTCTCCGCTTAGAAAGGATAGGCCCCCAGCCCGGCACCTCGCCTTGCTCGAGCACTTGGACGATCGCGCGAAAAACGCCGGTTAACGGAATTCAACGTGGGCTCAAGTGCTTCATTGAAGGCGTAAAGAAATTGTCGGGCCGTTATGCGGGGGGGACGATGGGTGAGTACAGGTGGAAGGGCGGGTGCGGTAGGGTCACGATCGCGCGATAAGATCCTCCGAGTAGGCAATCAAAACGGATCAATAGCACGAAAGCCGGATGGCGCCATGGACTGGGAAATGGAAAACGGGGACGAAAGGCTTGAACAAGCGTTCGTTTGAGTGAAAGCGAGGGGGGAGCAGAACACCTTCTTCCTCGCGCGCGCCCCAACCTTATCGGGCCACACTAGCATCTCCCAAAAGCCTTCTGAGCTGCTCCAAAACGTCGGGATGCAACGCGTGCACATCGTCCTTGGTGAGCGTCGACACGTCCTTGGTCGTTCCATTTGCCAATTGCATGGACAATCTAGCTCCTTTGCTCGTCGACGTGGCGGCGGCGGCGGCGGCGGCAAGATCCGGGCGAGAGGAGGATGGGGCGGCGCAAGAGCTGGAAGAAGAATGTGCGGGTCGGGACCGAGACGCGGTCTGCGACTCTTTCGACCTTCCTCGTCCGCCTGCAATAGGAGGTCCAGCGAAAGACGATTCTTGCCTCGTCTTTGTATTCGCGCTGCTCCCATCATCGGATACAGACCCGCTGCTAGCAGCAGCAGGCGGATTCGAGTTGCTCGAAGACGGTAGCAGCAGCTGCGCTCCCAATCTTCTCTGCGCTTTTTCGTGTTGGGCTACGTATTGGCGCATCAGCTTGTCTTCGTCCGGCAGAGCCAACGAGTCGGATTGATCGGCCATCGTCGTCGATTCGTCCTGCGCTTCAGCACGAACATCATCCTCGACTTGATACTCGAGAGCGTCCCCGCGCTTCGACGCTTGCTGTTCGTCGGCGGAAGAAGAGGAGGAAGATTGCAACAGTGGGTTCCTCCTATACACCGCTCCAGTCGCGTTGCTGATCCTGCCGCCGCCGCCGCCCATCTCCGCATCCCTCGCATCTTGCGTCAAAGGTTGCAGCACACCTCCCACAACCACGCCCGTCACAGCCTGTCCATCGCTCGTATAGAACTTGACCATTTCGCCCTCTTGAGCCGTGCGCGAGGCGGGTGGCGCACCGTTGGCGCCGCTCGAGCGCGCAGGTGCTCCTGCGCGACGCAAAGAATCGATGGTGGAAGAGGAGTCGTGTGCGCGAGCGCCCAAGGAGAGCTTCTTGGCAGGAGAGGGAATGGCAGGGTTGAAAGAGGAGGAAGGTGGTCTTTCTTTCTCCTCACCGCTCGCTTCGCCGGTCCGACTGGTGCTTGGCTGTAATGTCCATGGGGTTTGCAGAAAGACGACGGTCGTGAGCGATGAGTGCGACGACGGCGCAGTGATGGAGAGCGCGCGCGCGCGCGCGCGCGCTACTCACAACATCGTCGGCTCCTTTGGCTCTTCGAGCCGTCGAAGCGTTCAAGCGGGACGTTTTCACCCGGCTCTTGTCCGCAAGACGAGCTAACAAGGAGTCCGACGACGGGTGCAGGATCAGCAGGCATTCACCTCTTTGCATCGCCCATGCTCAACCCCTTCGCTTCACAAGTCCATCGCGAGCTCTCACCATTCTTGCTCTTTTCATGATCATCATCTTCCTCCTCTCCTCTCCTCTTACCTCTTCCCTTTGTCTTCTCCGCCAACTTGTCCCAATCCTCGCTCTCCACACCCACCACACCCCTAACGCTCGCTCCCCTTCCCTCCGTCAATCTGCCCTTGCCCGCTCGACTCATGACCAACTTGGCATCCGCCTCGTACTCCCTCACAAACTCTCCAAGCGTCATGCGCCGCACCACGCTGGGCAGGCGGGTGATGTAGAGGGACATTTGCTGCGTGGCGAGGGACAAGGAGTGGGAGAGGGAAGCTTGCAGCGTCGACATCTGACGCGAGGCTGGAGCGGGCCGCGCGGGGCGGAGATCGTATCAGCCATGCGGTGCGGGGGCGAACCTTGCGACGAGACGGGACGACACGGAAAGCACAAAGTGCAACTCACACTCCAAATCGTAATTGTCCAAAAACCCAGCGATGGCATTTTCGGGCACCACGCCTGCCTGCGTCTCGACCACCATGTCCACAACATCCGCATCCTCGCTATGAGCGCTAGTGACCTCCTTGTCCATCTTTGTTCTCGCCGTCGATGTCGCCTTTTTGCTCTTCTTCGCTCCACCCGCCGCCTTTTCCCGTTTCTTTCGTTGCTTACCGTCCACCTCCTCATCCTGCAATTCGTCCCTCTCCTGCTGCTGCTGCTGCTGCTGCTGCTGCTTTGTCGCGTGCTTGGCCTGCTTACCGCCCGGCCTCGATTGCGCTCGCGCTCGCGCTTGCTCCTGCTCAGCGCCTTGCTTGACCTCTTCGCGATTCACATTCCCGCTGACCACATTTCCAAACATTCGCTCTGTTGCGCTGCTTGAGGATTTGGTGGCACGATTGGGGGACTTTGCACTCCCGCTTGTTGCGCCAAGATTGGCGTGGGCTTGAACTTGATTCTTGCCGCCGCCGCCGCCGCCGCCGCCGCCGCTGCTGCTGCTGCTGCCATACTTGATGCCGCTCTTGGCTCGAGGTTTGTTAAAGGCAGAATACAAAGGCGAAGAAGCATCCGCATCGCTTTGCATTTCACCATTGACCTTGCTGCTGCGCCATTTCGTCTTGTCTGCCGCTACGGGAGTCGACATTTCTTCATCCTCTTCATCGTTCATCTCTGAAACATCCTCATCCTCCTCATCCGCAGACGTAGCCCCACTATCGGATTGGCTCGCGCTCGCGCTCGCCAAGCGTTGTTGACGCGTAGTGCGTCTCGTCGACCCGGCATTCCCTTCACCCTTCGTCGCGTTCGCCTTTGCGGTTTTGCTCGCATTTTTGCTTTGGCTCTTGGAGCGCTCGGAGCGCGCTTTGGGAGGCATCGTGTGTGTGTGGGGCAGTCCTTGTCGACCGTTGCTGGCGCGTAGTGGTGGGCGGAGGATGCCAATGAGGCCTGGACTGGGCTGAATTGGGCTGAGCTAGGCAGAGATGCTAGGGTGAGCGTGCGTGAGCGTGCGTGTGCGTGATGTGTATGTGTGTGTTGAAATGGTGCACGTCAAAACGCGATGTGGGCGGACGCGTTGGCGATCGCGTGTCTGCTTCACGTGCACGAGCACGAGCACGAGCACGTGAAGGACCGATGCGAAGGAGGATGTGCGAGGAGGGCAGGTAGATGCCAACAAAAAGTCGGGGGCAAGCAAGGCCGTCGATCGTCTGTGGTGCGTGCGTGCGTGCGTGCGTGCGTGCGTGCGTGCGTTGATGTCTGGATGACTTTGCCCTAGGCGTGAGAGTGAGGGACAAGCAAACGTTTCTGTCGAACCCCCCCCCCCCCCCCAAGCATCCTCTTGCAAAGCACGCACGCCGCACATGCCCGCGCACAATTCAAGTCACGATCGATCGAGTCAAGCGTTCGTACTTCCCCGCCGAAAGCGTGCGTTCCTTGTGCCCCGCCCTTCGTACCGCGCAGTGCCCACGACGTACACGCAGCAGCATCAGCAGCAGCGCGCGCGACGCGACCCAAAAGACCAACCAACACTCGCGCGCGATTTGAGGTGCACTGGATCCTTTGGCGCGTCTTGCAAGAGTCACGTGTGACGCGTTGGCCGCGGACGCGTTTACGCGAGAACAAGAGCGCGCGCGTCGCGCATGTGGGCGCGGGCATGCATGCATGCATGCATGATGCATGGTATGCGTTTCTGTGTGCACCGCCATTCGCGAGTCGCGCAATCAAGCCAACACGCACGCACGCACGCACGCACGCACGCACGCACGCACGCACGCACGCACGCACGCACGCCGAACAGCTTTTGCTCAATTTGAGTGACTTCATTCCGGTCGCCGCAAACACACCATCATCAACGCTCACCACTCAGCACACCAAATCAAGCGCATCATCATGTCCAGCAGCGCACTCACCTCTGCGCGCGCGCACGCACAGGCAGACGCACGCCCCATGCCCATCCAGCCCGCTCCCGGCTCTCTTCCTGAGCGCGAGCAGGAGCGCGAGCGCGAGCGCGAGCGCGAGGCAGAGCATGCCGATGCACCAGCGTCGGCCACGGCACATCTAACACCCCTCGAATCAGCGCTGCATCACCAGCTCTTCGCTCGTCGACAACATCTCTCTTCTCGCGCCCGATACCTCTCCTTCTGGTCCGCTCAAACCTCCCCCGAAGAGGAGATCCGCACATCCCCAAGGAAATCAAATCCCACCACAAGCACCTCCTCCTCTACGCCCAAAAGGAGAAGAGAGACGAGGGAAAAGTTTGGCAGGGATATCGTGGATGAGGAGTTCTTGAGAGGGGCGATCGAGGAACGTGTACGAAGGGTCGAAAGACTTGGACGCGTCTTGAATGTCAGGAGGGACGTGTTGAATGGGTGAGTGTGGGTGCG